ATATATAGGTGTAATAATAAATTTAAATAGCTACTTTTATAGTCGGTTTGGTTCGATTTTTTCAGTTATTTTTTTATTTAAACCAAAACCAAACCAGATTTGATCGATTTTTAAAATTTAAAACCAAAACCAAACCTAAAACGTATCGATTTTTTTAGTCGGTTTGGTTCGATTTTTTGGATTTTTATGAACACCCCTAGCCTTAAGTGTAGCAAAATGTTTGTTGCACTTCAGACCTTTTAGCCTTAAGTGCACATGAAGTGTTTTTTCACTTCAGACTTATTGGCCTTAAGTCTAGCAAAACGTTTATTGCACTTCAGACCTTTTGGCCTTAAGTGCATCTGAAGTGCAATTTTTCACTTCAAACTTATTGGCCTTAGGTGTAGCAAAACGTTTGTTGCACTTCGAGACCTTTTGGCCTTAAGTGCATCTGAAGTGCAATTTTTTACTTCTGAATTATTGGCCTTAGGTGTAGCAAAACGTTTGTTGCACTTCGAGACCTTTTGGCCTTAAGTACATCTGAAGTGCAATTTTTCACTTCAGAATTATTGGCCTTGAGTACATGAAACCATTGGTTACACTTCATACTTATTTGGCTTTAAGTGCATCTGAAGTGCAAATTTTCACTTCAGACTTATTGGCCGTAAGTGAATGAAAACGTTTGTTGCACTTCAGACTTTTTGGCCTTAAGTGCATTTGAAGTGCAATTTTTCACTTCAGTCTTATTGGCCTTAAGTGAATGAAAACGTTTGTTGCACTTCAGGCTTTTTGGCCTTAAGTGCATCTGAAGTGCAATATTTCACTTCAGACTTATTGGCCTTAAGTGCATATGAAGTGTAATTTTTCACTTCAGACTTATTAGCCTTAAGTGCATGAAACCATTGGTTGCACTTCAGACCTATTTGGCCTTAAGTGCATTTGAAGTGCAATTTTTTTCACTTTAGACTATTTTTTTTAACTTCAGACCCGATAAGTTTGAAGTTGAACGTAAAGTGGGTACGCTTACAAACTTTTTTGTAAAGTGAGTATAGGTTCAATTGTGACCCCAAAATCGGGTATTGATGCAAAAGCCCCATTTATTTCTTCGACAAAGTACATGCGATAGGCTCATAATAACACGCCCATTAAGGCATTAACAGCCTAGGCTCTTTACTCTTTTCATTTTCGGCCCAAAATAGAAGTTTTGTGGACTTGAAAGCCTTCTTTTCCAGCAAATTAGCTCATAATAACATGTCCATTAACAGCCTAGGCTCTTTGCCCTTCTCATTTTTGGCCCAAAACAGAAGCTTTGCGGACTCCATCACGTGAAAAGTTGCAGCATAATATACTGGAGATTGGAGCACCTGTGTATGAACATCCAGCATATTATGCTGAATCAGTATATTATACTGGAACTCCAGTATATTATGCTGGAATATTTTTCGAATTTTGAACAGTATTTTTGTTCAGATTTATTTTTCATGAAAAATGACTAAATTTTGATTACTTTTAAAACTGTGCCTATTTTTCAATTACAACTTGTAAATCTGGCTATTTTTTGAATTTCTCCCAATGATTTTCTCTTAAGGCCCATTTTAATATTATCCTTTTTCAGTTTTTGTAGTTAATGTTTAAAAGATAAGTTGCATTTTTATCTTGTCCAAAAGCTACAGACTAAGAGTCAAGAATCTCACTGAATAAAGTCATCGTTGTAGCTGCTGAATTTTTAAATTACAACTTATCTTCAAAATTCTTGCCGCGAAAATGGAGTCCCATGGTAACTGCTAAAACCCTATTTTCATTTTTCCTTATCAAAATTTGGGATTCATTTTCTACTGAAATTTGTTTTTTTCTCTCTTTAATTTGGATTTTTTTTATATTAGGGCACAGAGGTTCAAATCCTAAGGCTGTTCTTGCATCCCTTTTGAGCAAAAGAGAAAAGCTTCAAGATGAACTACGAAATGTTGAAAAACAAGTAAAAGACTTTTATTGAATTCTTTAATTTTTCTTTTTATTATGAAGTTCCTTTTTTTTTTTTTTTATTAGTCATTCACAATGAGGTTTTTGTAGAAGCTCTCTAACTGGATATCAATATCTTTTTCAGTATTTGTTTATGACATGAGTTATGAGAAATTATTGTTTATTTGCATTATTCTGTTTTGTTGTTTAAATTGGTAGCTAAATTGTGGGTATTGGTTTGATGTAGGTTTATGAGCTAGAAACGAGTTATTTGCAAGAAACAGGCACTTTTGGAAATGCGTTAAAAGGATTCGAAGGCTTTCTATCAACATCGAATAAGAATGCAAAGTACACACCTTTCTAGTATTTATCTGCTCAAAACCTCAAGTTCTTGTAGTTGGAAAGTAGAAGTGATGGTTAATGTAAAAGATTACCTTTTTTATGGAAAGCATCATGTTTTTTCACCAAAATATACTAATGTCCCGTTTAGTATCTGCAACAGTTAACGTTTGAATATTACATATCCTTGATTTGATGGAAGGTCAGAATCGGCTTTCAGAATAATGTAGGTCGTATAGATGGTTATTAAGGATATGATAGCTGATGGAATTGGTAACTAAAACTTTATGAATCCACACTTAGTTGTATTTACATAGTGTGTATATACGTGTGTCTTATTATGCTCTTACTGCAATAACTGCTTAATTGCTATCTGGTATTGAGTTAATGATCATAATAGAAATCAATGCTGAAGTTCTATGAATAGAAATAATCTAGACAGGAATGTCGTTCTGAATCGTATGAAATTCGGTAAAGCATATATCGACAAGTATATGCTCTCACAAAAGCCATTGTTGGCAAGATGAAACAAATGATCTTAAGGAAAAAGGACCATGTACTGCATCTAACATTACAAAAATTGCATCTAACATTACAAAATATTTTCCAAAGCATGAACTAAAGCAATATACGGGTTCCATGACACTTTACTATCCTCTGTGTTATAATTCAAATCTTAGATAAATATAAAGATAAAATAGAGTTCATCTCTCTAGATATATTTAAGGTTTTGATATACAGTAATTTTTTCTGGAGTTTGTCCATTAAAGAGCGTGCAAATTTGAAGTTTCCTGCAAACAGAAAGCAAGTATTTTGGAGATCTGAGTAATTATTTCAGTAAGCTTAACAAGCCACCGATTGGAACATGATTAGTAACACCCAATGCACTAAACATTTGGAAGCTGATTTTCAATTATGATAAAACACCGAGGCGCTATCCTGAATAAACAAACTTTCAATTGTCAGACCTATATGTTATCTAGTCTAGATCTAATAAACATCAGTGTGTATTTTCAAATTAAGTGTTCATCCAAATCCACACTGTAGTGGAACTCTATGAGTAGGATCAGTGGCATCATTCCAATGTTCATGTTTTTAATGATAGTGAAATATTGCGCTGATTTAATTGAATGATCGGTATTTGGCTTTGCTTTCATGAAATAGAACATTGTTTCCTTGTCCAGAAGTGATGTTTCCTTATCTAGTGATAATACCTTTTCTAGCTTGTAAGACTTTCACTTCAATGTCATTTGACAGCCTCAAAAGGTCGAGAAAATTTCAGCTTGAAGACAGGCTATTCTCATTGTCTTCAGTCACTTCACCAGCAGTAAGTATTTTGAAATGCCTAGAGGTTTTGTTTTACTACTTTATTAGGAGTACATATTCTGGAAATTTTTATATTTGATAAGCTCTTTACTGTTGATGCTTATGAAAATAGTGTTCAAATCATGTTTTGCACTGCTTATCCCAAAGTGTTTGGCATTAATCAGCCCTGCAAGCCATTCTGTTCCCCTATTCTTTTAAAAGAAAAACCAACTCTTAGCCAAATGCCAAGAAAGGCATTACCCCTTAAAAGAAAAATCATAAATAAATAATACCTGCCGAGCCAAATCTCATAGTAAAAATGAAAAGGTGAAGCAATAAAATTTTGCTTTAGAGGCCGAAATAGGGTGCCCAGAGGAGGACTAGGAAATATATGTAGTTCTTGCAATCCAAGTTCCTGCAATGGATTTTAATGCGTATGTTTTTCAGAATTATGAGTAGATCTTTGAAGATATACATTGGCTAAGCGAGAACTTTTTTCTGTAGAGGCTGAATAGGTGCCCGAAATGGACCAAGAAATAAAAGTAGTTCTTGCTTGTATTATATATAAAAAAGAATGTTCATAAGATTTTAGGTGTTCTTCAGTACTATTGGATGAATGCTGAAGTGGAGATTCAAACATTGTCCGGAGTGGCATTCTCTTGGATCAACAGATTATGATTATTAGTTGATGGATACGAACATATGTTGTTGGTTGGGAATTGCTTTTTCAGTTGGAGATGGTTTAGCGTTCTAGGGACTAATCAATTTTATTGATTTAATTGCACTACCTCTTTCCAAATGCATTCCTTTAACAAGTTAAATTACATACACTTAGATCCCAATGACCTATTTTCTGCTCTGATGTCGTCAAAGCTTAACTTTTCATGTTTTCTGCTCACATACATTTTATGGGAAAAGATGGATGAATGTCCAATTCAAAGTTGAAATTGTGCTAACAAGATGAATCTGTTCTTTTTACTAAATAAATTGTATCTCATGCATGTATGTGCAATTTTTTGGTTCTGATTCTATTTTCATTGTTATTTTTACTTCGAATCACCTTGCTCTATCTCTATGTTCAACTGATTTGGTACATTGGCTGTGTGGATACTTAAAACATAGCACATCTTTTGGGCTTAGTAGAGACCTGACGTGGCTGTTATTCATTTATGTTTAGGCGGAAGAGCTTGGACTTGGACGGGAAGGTTAGTCTTTTTTGTTCCCTGTACTTTAGTCTAAAGCTTTTGCAGTGTTCTTTTCTTCTTTTTTTTTTTTNGCGCATTGCATTGTTTTCTGGAGATGTTTTTGATAATTCGTTTTGTCTTTGTTCGCAGATGGAAGACCAGATCCTACTCAAAGTCGAATCAGGGGCGGAGGTTTTGCCACTAACGGACAGTATGTTCTGCTTTTTATGATGAGATATGTTGCATTTTGTTTGAATTATTACAATCTTTAAGCCTATTAATTTCTAAGATACGCGGATCGAGGTTGTAAAATGCAAATTTCTGTTTTCTCAAAATAAACTTGCAACTTCTTTATATTTGTTCTTTTTCGTCCATGATGTCTGTGAGTGCACCTCATGCAAGTACTACTGTAGGGGTAAACCAAAGAAGGGAAGAACCGGACCACGAGATGGAAGGAAGTTCCGAATATCAAACGACTTGGATCTTGATGATGAAGATGATCCAGATTCAGGCTTGAGATAGCTATCACTAACTTTATCTGCAAAAAACTGTGTTGTAGTTTGTTGTACCATAGTATTGTATCATCTCATGGTTGAATAAAATCCTACACAACTATGTATGCATCGATAAGTTTCTAGCGGCTAATTATTTGTGGATGTGCGCAAGAACTTCCCTAGGTAAAGGACATGTTCTGATCAATTTTGTACAGTAACATAATTTGACAAACAAGGGTTCTCAAGTGTTCATATTCTCTGAATTCGTCATTCGCCATATTACTATGAGATGTTGGATAATGGATATATCTATTTAGTTTTTCAACTCTTTTTACGTTTATTTAGTGCTAGTTTGTGCCTTGCTAAATTGCTTTGGTAGACTGAGTTATTTGATATTTGTACTGGTGGTGGGTGATAGCAGGTACCTGGTGGAATAGTCGAGGGACTGGACACCACTATTATAAAAAGAAAGTGTTGCTAGAATGGATTGAAAAGTCATAAGATCTGGTTACTGGCAAAGCAGGAAAAAGATGAAGGTGGACAGAATCAACCAAATAACCTGCCCTCAAAGACTTCCATATCTGGATGAGGTCAATCTATAGCAGGTGAAATCAAGTTAACTCTTTTAAGATTCAATATGACAATCTTAAAAGGGTCAAATCAAAGACTCTGTTTTTTATTTAGCCTTGGATAGAAATGCAGGATAAAACTGCGTATAATAGACCCTTGTTGTCCGGTTCTTCCCCGAACCCCATGCATAGCGGGAGCTTAGTTCGCCGGGCTGCCTGTTATATATTCACCAATGATTGAGGGTACATGTTAATAGTGCACAAGTAATTATGGCAAAGAGAACGTAGATAATTTCTACATTATAAGATCATAAGTATTGATTTCTTATTCTCTTCTAAATTAATTTTAATAGAATAAGGATTTTTTTTGTTGATATTTTAGGAATAATTCATTTCGAATATGTCTATGATTCAGAGCCAAATCATTCACAATCGCATCGTTGAATTTGTATTGATGAAGTAAATGTACATAAAAATTTTTAGTTGTAAAAGCTTAGCAGGATTTTACCTAGTGGATTTTTAAAGTGTAAGTTGATATATTCAACTTTCCTATTAGGTAAGAAGGTGCACTCTAATGACAGTATTTCACTAGCATTAGTTAGCAACTTAGCTTTGCCCATAATATCTGCTTTAATTTATACTAAAATAAAATTTTATTGAATTGACTGACCTAATATAAATATAGGCAAGGTTACCAAAGAACTATTTTTCTATTTGTTGACCACTTCAAGAGTAAACCACGTAAAAAGTTTATTTAAGATAATTCACTTATACAACAATAAATCCTTAATTCCGAGCAAGTTGGTGTCTGTTATATGAATTTTCCTTGTTAATGTCGCCCCTCCTTCAGGCGATTGTGAAACTATATAATTAAAAAAAAAACTAAACTAGCTGATCAGATAAAAGTTAATCACAAAATTAATGTAACATAGAAACAATTTTTTGCAAGAAATAGTGTAATGCAGCCTCAGATAAAGATAATAATCCTCGAACGACGAGTTCAACACAGTTTAATTAGATGTAATTACAGTATGTCAAAACGTGCTAACTAAGCTTTGAAACGGTATTAAGAGAAATGATAACCACACAAATAGTTTAACAATATTGTTATTAACACAGTTTAACTGGATGTAGTTTCAGAATGTCAAAACGTGCTAACTAAGCTTTGAAATGGTATTAACAAGAAAGATTAAAAAATAAAAAAAGGGCGGTCCGGTGCACTAAGCGCCCGTGTGGGATCCGGGGAATGGTCGAACTACAAGGATCTATTGTACGCAGTCTTACCATGCATTTCTGCAAGAGGTTGTTTTCACGGCTCGAAGCCGTAATCTTCTGGTCAGATGATAACAACTTTACCAGTTGCGCCAATGCTCCCTTCTAACAAAAAAAGATAACAACACAAATAATTTATTATGTAGTATAATGCTTATTATAAAGAATTCGTATTACTAATACTTAAACAATTAGAAGTAATTGTAAAAAATAAAAATTTCATAAGACAACAAAGATGATGTCCGTCGATAACACCATTAATTACCTCGTCAACAAGATTTGGTAACATATCAAATAATGTGACAATTTTATGAAGCTCCTTTTATTAAGCTAATATATTATAAGATGTTTTAAACTGCATATAAATATAAACATTAATGGTTTAACTAGGATATACTAAGAAGACGATATCAATCTTTTCCTAGAACTTACAGAAGCCAAAAATCTACCTAAAAAGACTATTTCAAAGTGATTCAGACAAAAAATTGAAATCTGTTACAAAAGTCATGAGATTAATCATATCCAATTTATTGTTGAAATTATATAACGTACAATATGGCAAATTGCAACAACATTCTCTGTTTTCCCTTTTTTTTTTTTTTTTTTTTTTTTGGTGGCGAACCAGAGTCTAACTTGGACTTCTAGTTCTCTATAATATATTTGTGACTTGCAGCCTATAAAAAGGATAAGAGATTATTTTAAACCAATTTTCTTTGATAATAACGACATTGAGACAGGGATAATGATATTTAGGTCTGAAAAAACCTTCTTATACCCAGCGGTTCATTTGTAAATCATGTAAATTTATACCTAAAAAGAATAAAATCAGATCATATTGAGATATAAATCACAGGATTTTACAGTCAACTAGTGGATTCCAATTCGATATGATTAACCTAAAAAATCATTAGTCGTTTTACTTTATTGAATCTTGTTTAATAAAATTGATTGTCATAATTTTGCTTGGCTCTGGAGATTCAGTTATGTATTTAATTACAAATATTATTATGACCAAAAAAAATAAAAATTACAAATATTATTTAAATTATATATATCGCTCTTTTCACAAGGGCCTAGTAAGAAAAACGTCGTAAATAAGTGTTTATATATATAAAAGGATACAATTGCATTTTGCCACCTCTAGTATTGCTAAATTGGATAGTAGTGAAGAAAATATTTCTTCAAATTGTTGGCTTTGTAATAATAGACAGTAGTGAAGAGCAATTTTCTTCATCTGTTGGCTTACTAACGAATCATATAGTAGTTAAGAAAATTTAGTTTATCTCATGCTTACTTTGGATAGTAGTGAGCAATTTCTTATTTTGTTTTCAGTTGGTTAAATTTTTTTCTAAATTCACTCAACTCTATAGTTCAAAATTGTTGAAGTGTTTTATCATCTCATCTAAAATTTTAAAATGTTAGATAAAGCATATTTTTATTTATTTATTTATTTATATTTTTAATATATTCCCTCAAGTGTGGACCTGGTTCTTTCTTTTTTATTTAATTGAATAGCCAAACATGTGTAAATTTTTTTATAATAGTTGACGGTGAGACACGAACTCATAACTTGTGTTTGCATGTTTAAATATCGTTTTGAATTATGTGATCATTCATCTAAAAGCTTATATCAACGGTTTGAAGAATTTCCACACAGATTAATTACATATATAGACGAATATATGGTTGATATCTCTAACATATTATATTTGGTCAAAATTATAATCTTCCACAGCAAAAACTAGCTTTATAATGCCTTTATTTTTTAATAAAATTTTTTCTGATTTTAAAAATTCAACTGGCTGATTGTGTAATTGTAACTAGACTCAATTAGGAGGAATTGAGTGTGACATGTAATACCATTAAATTAAACACAACTTATTCATTGGTTGGCTATAAATGTGAACATTGCAATTGAAAAATCAAAGTTCGTTGAAACAAACTTGATGTACTAACTAGTACAAGTTGCAAAATTCCACTGTGACAACCATAAAAAAATAAGTGCAATTTTAGCTACCAAGTGACTAACAGCAAATTTCTCTCTTTTACGACTGCTGCTTTTTGAAAAATAATAAAACTTACAATGTATTTGCAATGATTGATCATGATTTATGGAGTTAAAAACAATTAAAGTTTAGTGGGATATGAATTGGACAAAGAAAAGGGAGGTGAATATGGCAACGTGAAAAAGTAAGAAAATCTGGATTAATTATAGTAAATTGGCGACATAAAAGTCAAAGATTTAAAATAAAAATGAGACGCCAGTCTTAATAGGATTTGATTAACAATTTTCAACATTAACCATTATTTAAAGAATAATCTATTGTGTCATTTCATTACTAATTGACCTGCTGCACGTAATTCTCCAGTCTTTGTATCTATTAGTTAATACAAAAGTTTTTGACCTAATAAATTGTTAAGACTAAACATTAACTTCATATCCATGCACTTCGTTCAAAGATAAAATTCGATTTTGCTTCGCTTTATAAGATCTAAGTTTGTAACTTCCAAAGTACTATGTATAACTTGCAAAAAGGATTAATTACGTATATCATTTTGACAAACATATATTTTTTCTTTCGTGTACCGGTAGTTTTAGTGTTAGTATGATATCTTTTTATTCCTAGATCGCTGTCACTACTAACTGTTTGGCTGCTATCTTTCACTTCGATCTTCTTAATGGAGTATCTTGTTATTATTATATATTGCTTGTTGTCACCGCTTCATTTCATCTTTCTTTAGCCGAGGATCTAACGAAAATAACTTTACTGTCCTCCCAGGGTAGGGGTAAGTTCTGTGTGCACCCTACCCTCCCTAGACCCTATTTATGGAAATTTACTGAGTTTGTTGTTATTGTTGTTGTTATTTTGACAAAGATAAAGAATTTATTTCAAGGTATTGGATGGTGGGGCGGTTAATATTTTTTTATAACTTATAATTTTAAATGAGATAATCACATGCTTCAATATTATAGAATAATTAAGTATGATGATATTTTACAGACTTAAAATCTTAAATTGACTAGGTTTACAAGTAATGAGTCTTAGCACAATGGTCGATATAACTTTGAGGGTTATTACTAAGGCAAATTTATTTCCATCTCGTAAACTTTTTTATTTTACAAAATAAATTTTTTAGCATTAGTCGACTTAAACTCGTTTTACTGTTTTGAAAATTTACATAAGTATTGACAATTTGGGACATTAATTAAGCTAAATCAACTATTCATGCTTTGAGAAATAAAAGACCCTATTTTCTGTCAAAGGGTCTTTAGATAAGACAATTGTTTCTTTGCTTTGACTCAAAGTAAAATGTCGACCTTTTGTCTTCTAATGATTTCCCATTACATTTGAAGAAATTTTTAACACCCATTTGCGCTGAAATAATAGTTGTTCTTTAACTGATTTTGACCAGAAATTAAAGCTACCCATTTCTCCAGTTACGTCTCAAATTTGGAATTTCCAAAGTCTCAATTTTCAACTAGACTAAAGAAAATCTTACATTTATTATTATTTTATTTTCAACAGTATGAGACTATTAGACACCATTCTGTACACATTTCGTAACCTGATGGTATCTTGTTATAAATTGAACCTGAGAGTCGACGCTATATTTATGTAACATTAGTGATATTATTAATTTTTGGCCTATGCTTGCACGACTTTAAAACACGTTATTAGGGTTTAAAGCTTGCTTTGTTCAAATAACTACTAATATATTTGCCTTATAGGTTGATATAATATTTGCTTAGAGTGTTCTATGCACCTTTATAGGGACTCAACATTCTCGTCGAGGTCTGTCACATCGCATCCAAGATTGCACGCGAAGCAGCTTTCATGCCAAGTTTAACAATTGAATTCACTAGTAACATTGTCTATTTTTGTCTAGCTAGGTTGACACGGCCTTAAAATGTATACACGTATATATACACGTATATATTTTTAAAAAATAGTAATATATTATAGTTATACTTTATATACAAAACAAATTTTAGTTGAATATAAATGCGAGTCCGCTACCTTTAAATCCCGGTCTGTCTTTAATCGTTGTGAAG